TTTGAATATCTGTGAAAGGGTTGAGAATCGGTTCATTCGAATATGTTGCATTTGAAGTGTAGAAGCACCTGACGAAATTTGTCGTTTGAATAGTTAATCACCCCTCCCCCAACAAATATTCAAATAATCATCTCTTTTGCAAATGTGAAAATGCATAAAAATAAATTATTACAAAAATAAACAGTATAAAATATTGATTTTTTTTTCATATTTTTTCTCCCCCAAGCTTATTAAACGAAGAAGTTATGAAATTTGCCATGCTCTACTGTGAATTTTTCCAATGAGATTGCAATTTTGTTTTTGTTTTTTTACAAATTTTAAATTTAGCAATTTTTGAAAGATTTAGTGTTTATTTTTTTACCAAAAATTAAATTGAAAGTTATATTACGGTGTCTTCTTAAAGGAAATTTAATAGTTCAAGAGCAACAAGTGAATTTGTGACAAAAACCGTAGATAGATTTTTAAAAAAAAAAATAAATACAAAAAAAAAAAAAATGTTGAATATCTGCGAAAGGGTTGAGAATCACTTCATTCGAATATGTTGCATTTGAAGTGTAGAAGCACCTGACAAAATTTGTTTTACGAATAGTTAATCACCCCTCCCTCCCAACCAATATTCAAATAATCATCTTTTTTTGTAAATTATATTTAAATATATAAAAAAATACTTCAAACATCTAGTTTCTCAAATAAATTATTATAAAAATGTACAGATTTTTTGGTATAAGGTTTTACAGCAAGTTGCCATCTTTGTCTTGCCTAGAGCCACTAATAACAAAACTTCAAATCTCATATATATTTTCCCTCTCTTTTTTTAAAAAATCCTGTCTTTTCTATTTGCTCCCCAATCATATATTTCTTGAATGCATAAAATGTACATTTTGTGTAATATTTGCTGAGATATTTAACGATCGGCTTGAAAAATGAGTGCTTTTGGGTGATTGGACAACCAAGTCAAAATAAATTTACATGAAATAACATGTTGCCAAAAACAGCAATTAGAATAATTTAATATGACTATTTAGATATGTTTTTAACATCAAAATTTAGAACAATTCTTTTTTTTATTAAAAAAAACTTATATTTTAACCTGTAAATGAATTAAACAGACTTTCTATTTAATTCAGTTTAATTCTCATAGCCTAACAATAATAATTCTCTCTCATTTCAATCCTCGGTTCCCCATTTTTCTTTAAATATAATTAATGGTCTGGGATAGTTTAAAAAGATGAATTTCTAATAAAGCAATTTTACTCTTAATAAGTCTCAATAGAAAACCCTTTAAATTAAATCAAATCAAGACGAAAAAAATCTCTTAAACAGCAATCATCAGTGTGAAATTATTTTAAGAAAACCAACAATGGAACAGAAGCCCTATAATTAATATAACAAATAATCCATACATGTTTAGCAGTCTAATTGACCTATTTAATTGTTGCAATTAATTATACTTTTTATCTAAAGTCTTGATTGAAATTAAAAGTATAATTGAAATAAATTAAAATTGAAATAATGAATAATCTTAAGAAAACCTCTCATTAATCATAAGTTAAAAATTACTTTTTTTTTTAAAGAGCTTGTTAATAATATTTTCATATTTTCAATGTGTATAATTAATTTTTATGATCTACTTATTTTTAATGTTTAAATTTAATTATTTTAACAGACTTGTGAATAAAAATGATGGTTTAAAAATGAATTCTTGAAAAATATCATCAGTTTCATAAAACAAATTAACAAAAATAATTTAATAAAGACAGTAGTTAATAAGTTGTATTGTAAAAAGCATAGGTAATATGTTAAAAAATTTAAAAATCTATTTACCTTTACTGAACTTTTTAAAATTGAATAAAAGGGTATAAATAATTTTGTTTAAAGATTATGTCTAGAGTGCTAAAAGGAAGTTTGTTGTATTTATAGATGTTGTATTACAACATAATATGAGTGGAAAAGTAATTTATTATACTCCTATCACAACACTAATTACTTTCCTAATTAGGTAAGAAATCTCAAGGTCATTGATGCTTTGGTTGTCTTAGAGAATAGTCAGGAAGGGTTCAGGATGGAAGATGTTGGACAAAGGGCTTAGGAAGAGAGTTCTGGGCATTGGCTTTTTGCATTTCAAAGGTAAATAAGATTTGAAGGTCTTTATGTATAGAAGCTTAAAAAGTAGGGAGCTTGAGCGATGGATCGAAAGAATTTGCACAGCAGTTACTGGATTCTTTGAATGTTGGAAACTTGGTTGAAACAATTCAATTATAGTAAGTCTTTTGTCAATGTGAAATCCCAAATTATGGACTTGGAGAGAAAAAGAGATATAGATTGGAGGAACAGTGATTTGGTTTCATTGAACCTAATTCTCTATTTCTGGAGTCACTCGTCCAAAAAGGAAAAATGGTCCTGGACATTTTTGAACTTCACTTGGCCTGAGTATGGTGGTATCGTGAGATTATGTGAGAAGGTGTTGGGATGAGGAACTAGAATTTTATGGACTCTATCGACTTCTATTGGTTTTGTATTGCCTATATATGCAAAGAGTACTGTATCAGGATTGATAGGAATATTGTTAGTGTATACTGAAAAAGACTAGGACTAAGAATGTTGCCTCGCAGAACACCCAATTTGACAGTAAATTCCACATTCGATTAAAGGCTTATCTAATGACTAAGAAAGCACTTGAGCAATCTTTCCACTTGAGGGAGAGTGCGATGATCCCACATTGATGAAGATTAAAGAGTTTTTATGGAAAAAATTAAATAAGAAAAGAGTGAAAGTTTTTCTATTGAGCAGTAAACAACAAAAAATCATTAATGATTCTTCATTGTTAGACATCACCTTATTTTAACACACAGCAAAAATATCATTTTGGTTTTCCCTTTATCATTTTTTCTATAAATGGTCTATTGCCTACTGCTATTTTCTATATTTTCCTAGTTTGTAATTAGATAGATAAATTATTTTAAAAAATTATATGATTTACAAATGTATATATCAAAAGGATGGATTAAAATCTGTCTGCCGGTGGACATTGCCAAAAAAGTAGAAAAAAGACAAATTACAATTATATAAATATAAACTAAACTATAGGTGTCCTACAACGCATAAAATAAATGTTTAGATTAGAAAGCTTTTGTTGGTTTAATGACCTGAAAAAGTGAGAAAAGCAGACAGGCATTAAAATTGGAACTTCAACTGCTTAACCAACTCCTGGCATACCCAATTCTAGATATTTAATTCTAAGACCTTTACTTAAAATGAAACAATCCTAACATTGCATCTCCTGCCGAATTAAGCATGAGAAAGTGTGAAAGTCTATTGTGTTTATTGGTCTATATTTGTTTTATATACATTCAATAAATCTAATTTAATCATTTATTATATTTGGTGTTTTTATTAATATGTTGGTACTTATCAGATCTTAGAAAAAAAATTTATTTGATTAAATTCACTATTTTTCGTGGTCCGCTTGACCAATTAATATCATTCAATTAATTAAGATTTTAAGTTGAGATAAAAAAAGTCAGTGTCACAAGCGGGATTCGAACCCATGACCTTCGGCTTGATGCACCGCTGCTCTACCACTTGAGCTATCGTAACTTCAAGTGGTAGAGTAGCGGCGTATCAAGCTGAAGGTCGTGGGTTCGAATCCCGCTTGTGACACTGACTTTTTATCTCAACTTAAAACCTTAATTAATTGAATTTTTTTTCTTTTATGCTTTCATAATGATTATTTTTTACCTTCCAGCCTTCTAGAAGTTGTTTCTTTACCAAAGCAAAAATTAAATATTTACTCAATTTAGGCAACCGTCTAAATGAAATAGTTATAATAAAATAAATGGCGTACCATTCTTGGAATTAAAGATATTTTTTCTCTAATTTACCTATGATGGAGTTTTACAGCAAAAATACTTCAACCTTGACAAAAATCTTGAACATTGATGATATTGCTACTTGAATGAGAAAGTTCAGGAAAGAGACTTGTAACAATGGAGTGTGTATGGCAGCAGCAAATGTCAATAGAGAAGTGCATTCTTAATGTAACAAAAGGACATCAAAATTGTCATTATTGACTTTTATAAAAATTACCTTGACTTACATAAGGCAGTTATAATTACAAATGAAATGAATATCTAAGTGCTTAGAGAACTTGCTTTTGCAATAATGATTATGAGGTCCTAAGATGATAAAGCGTCAGATAAATAGGCAGACCAAGGATTAAGATGACAAGCTACATTTATTATTTATTATATTGTTCAATTATAAGTTCTGCAAGGATACAATACAATAAATTTGTAATTTGGTCGTTTCAAATTATTTTTGTCTCACAGACACTACACTGAAGAAAATGGGAAATTGAAATGTGTCAAGTAGATCAAAACTTTTGAGTATATGCAGACCAAATAATCAGTAATGACCAAATCAGGATAACTGCCACTTATTTTATTAATTAGTTTTTAAATTAAATGCTTTGTATAAATTTTACCACGTTTGTAATTATAATGATAATGATGTCTTAAGGTGATGAATAGTCAGACAAAATATGAAAAAGACAGACCAGGATCATCAAGATGATCGAGTGTCTCCATAGACCGTGCATTGAAGATGTCGAGAAGCTGAAATTGTACAGCAGACCAAAACCGTTGCGAATAGAATGACTAAGGGTTTGCAACAGCAGAGATCATATCAATCCTCGGGGTGTAAATTTATTATTATTTATTATATTGTAAAATTTCCTCTTGGATTCTGCAACATTACAATATAATTTGTAGTCTGACCATTTCCCATCATTTTTGCCTACTCAGATCCTACACTGAAGATGGTGAGAAGTTCAGGAAAGAGACTTGCAGAAATTTACTACGTCTGACCACAAATAATGACAGAAAAGAATATTTTTCCATAACAAGATCATTGTGTGTGAAAATTTTTATTTTGAAAAAATTGTTTTTCTTGACAATTAATTTTTCAGTTTTTCAATTGTATAATTAAAAAGAAAATATCAATTTAAATATAAAGCAAAAACTTTTATTCAAGAAATTAAAATATTTACATGAACATATTTACAATGACGTTCTTCAAATGACAATAATTTACAATAAATATCATTTATTTCTATATCCCATAATAAAACTTAAGCATCAGGTTCTTGGGTAAATTATGCTCTTATGAAATACCTAAAGATGTAAAACTCCAAGGGTACCAAAGAAGTGTGTGTGTGTGTGTGTGTGTGTGTGTGTGTGTGTGTGTGTGTGTGTGTGTGTCCAACATAGTATGTAAAAATGTTGTTATAAATAAATAAACTTCAAAATTAATATAGGGAGATATTAAAATCACTAAATTTTCAATGTTAAATCTATAATTTACATGGTAATTAATTTACATAATTTATACATAATATTTATTTAGAAACACAGTTTTAAAAACTAAGACTAGCAATAAAATATTGATATACATCACAAAAGTAATCTATACAATCAAAGTTAAATACCAAAGTATTTTGGTTTAAATTGACATTGTAAAATATATTAATACTAGAAAAAATATGTTGAAAAAATATGTTGGTAAACATTTATATAGTAAATTTATTAAATTGCTTAGAGTAGTTTGAATGGTTGGTAAAACTGTAGGCATATGTACAATTTTGTTTCTAAATTTCAACAAAAACAGCTGTCCACTTCTGTTCTTGTTTAAAAGTCTCAAATTCACAAAAACCAGGGACATTTGAATAAAACAGTATTTAACTGGAAGTTTTCGTCGAATTTCTCATCTTCGCCATAAGATGCTGAGCTCCAGACCTGGAACTTAAGTGAGCCGTCCTGACCGCGCATGAGCAGCATGAAGGAAGTTGGAATATGTCCGTTGTAGCTTCTCCTTGGCTGTCAAGAGCGATGAGCTTCCTGTAGATGTACTTCTGTTTGCAGTACGTTTCATATCCCAACGGGAACCCTTGAGTAAACGCGCATGGTTTTGTTATATTCTCCCTGAAAGTAATATTCAATTAATATCTCTTAATATTGATTAAAATATTATATAATTAATATTTAAAATAAATTATTATGTCAGCCCTCCAAAAAAAAAAAAAAAAAAAAAAAAAAAAAAAAAAAAAAAAAAAAAAAAAAAAAAAAAAAAAAAAAAAAAAAAATTGTGCTGAGGACTGGAGTTGACAATTTTAAGATTATCAAAAAAAGAAAAACCTTGTGGATCTATAGTAGTCAACATAAAAAAGAACTATTCTTCACTGAAGATGGTGCGCAGTGTAGATGGACCCTGTGTCGGTGCACCAACATACACCATCATATTTTTTTTTAATTGTTTACAAATATTATAATGAAAATTGAATAACATTTTTTTATAGTTAGGGTGGCCAATGGCAGAAAAATGAAATTATAAAGTCAACATTTATAGATAAACAGTTAGTAATGAACCAAATCCTTATAATTTTATAATCATGCTCTAAAAAATGATAAAGAATTCAAAAATGGGTTAAAAGATTAAAAAGACGACTATGATGCCAGTCGAAATGATGAAGATGAAATGTGACTTTTTTGTAAATACAGGAATACATGCAATAAAGCATTTAAGTATTTGGACAGAACAGAGTTTCTTTCACCAAATAAATTATAATTAATGGTCAATAGTAATTGGGGAAAAAAAGCCTACTAAGTAAAAACTTGCAGTTTCCAAAATGCAATGAAAATATTCATTTTTTTTTAATATGTATTAAAAAAATGAAATTTAAAAGAAAACATGGTATGAAGGAACCATGCATGACCACAGGCTGATTAAAAGAAAGACAGATTGTAAACATTCAAATGTAAAAACTTTGAAACTATACTTGTTTCCTGGATAGTAAGAAACCAACCTATCAGAGTAGTCATCAGTGGTATGCCTGCAACCAAGAAGGGGGTCTTAAGTGTTTCTTAGAGGGATGTTGAAAAATAAAAAGAGATGCTAATTGTCAACACTCACTGGCACTTTTCAATCCGTACTCCTTGCGTGTAGTTTCCCTGGTTTATGATGAAAAGCCATTCATTGTTCTTGTTTTTGGCACTTTTCGGGTAAACTATCTGTTCCTGAAAAGGAATAAAAAGTAAGGTAAATCATTATAAAAAAAGTGGTAAGCTTATCACAAACACAAAATTTTATCATAAACATAGTAAATTTTATAAATTTTTAAAAACCTTTATTATTGACTTACTATTGATGTACATAGAGGCATATCATCTTGATAATCAATCCTTTGTTGGATTTCTAGGGGAGTGTCTTGCCCAAACATTGCGCTGAAGTCTTTAGCAGCAGTTCTCAAAATGCTTGCAACATGGTCTCTGAAAAACACATACAAATTATACAATAAAACTAAGGTTAAAATGAAAAAATAAAATTGACTTACTGTGGGTAGTTATCTACTTTTTCGCAGAATGTACTACCTTCGGTGCATTTCGGCTTGGGTAGGTAACTACGGGTTTCAAGTTTTGTATCATCTCCGGGAAAAACAAACACCTCTCCTGTACATATATAAAACATTTTACATTGGTTAATGAGCACATAAATAATTTTAATGATAAAAACTCACCACTTGAACTTCCACCCCTCGACCAACTGCCTTGTGGAGTCCTACAATCAAATCATCAATTACTTTTATATTCAAATACACAAATACGTATATACATGAGTAGACAATATGTATAGATTGCAATTATGTACAGTAAAAATAATAAAGCATACTCAATATAATACAATGCCTTTACAACAAACTACTCTCTTTACAGTCACAAAAAATCATGCTAATTTTTGCAGTTTCGACAAAAAATTATGTTAATAAGCAGAGCAAAACTATACATATGACATAACTGTTAAACCCCTCCCAACAACTGAAGCAGTCTTTCCAGTTGAGAAGAGCCTAACCTAATCGTATTGCTACTTTGAGCATTTTTATGATTAGGAAACTTGACCGGAGACCTTGGTTCCACATTCGTTCTTGATTGTGTTAAATTTCTGGACCTCCTGTTCCCACTGCTTGGGTACGAATCCACCAAACAAACCTGAAATGAAAATATCAATTTAAAAAAAAAAATCTTGGGTTAAACGCTAAATTTAAAAATAGAACGATAAATAATCATGACCTCCTAAGTAAATATCTTCTACTAATCTTGTGTATTACCTTGTAAAAGAAAAACTTTATTTTGCTTCATCATTTTTGCAATGATGATGATGATGAGGTCTCAAAGTGATGAAGTTACACAAAATAAGAGATAGACAGATCATAATAATCAAGATTATCAATTATTCATTTATTATTGCATTGTAAAATCATATTCATAAAAACCCATCTTGGATTCTGCAATGTTACAATATAATAAATTTGTAGTTTAGTCATTTCTAATCATTTTTTAGAATAGACTCTGCACTGAAGATGACAAGAAACTGAAATTCCAGCACACCAAAATGATCGATGATGACTAAATTATAGAATATCTAACAGTTACTGTCATTTTTATAATAATAATAACCATGACAGTCTTGAATGTTGAACAGTCAGACAAAATATAAAACAGACAGGAAGATCAGTATTATCAAGATGATCAATAATACATTTATCAAATTGTAAATGTTTTCTATTGGATTTATAGGTAATAAATTTGTAGTTTGTTTGTTTCTGATCATTTCTGCACAGGCTCTACACTGATGGTTAAAAGTTGAAATGTGCCTGTCGCACAGATAGACTAACCAATAGGATCACCAAAATTGGTAATGATAATGATTTATAGATATATATATATATAGATGAATAAATAATATAATAAATCTACTAAACACCACACATATATTAATAAAGTTTTAAATACTTTTACATTTGTCAAAGTTGGGTTAAAAATAAGCAAAAAGCTAATTTGCTTTGTATCAGTTTTAGTTAAAAAAAAAGCCTCATATGAATTTCAATTTAATGCATTTTCAAAGCGATATGGGCTCAGAATCAGAAATATTTACGAATATTTGTAAAGTTTGAAAAATAGATTTTTTAATCTAAAATTTACAAACAGTCAGCACACCTAGTTGGAAAAAAGGTTACTTCTTGCTAGCACACATATGTTAAAATAATACATTTTTAAGACAAACACTAAATATTATTACAATTAATTAAGGTTTTTAGTTGAGATAAAAAAGTCAATGGCACGAGCGGGATTTGAACCCACGATCTTCGGCTTGATAAGCCGCTGCTCCACCACTTGAGCTATCGTGACTTCGATCCACTCGCACACTAAATATTATTTCATCATAAAATTATAAGGAAAATTCTGAGATACTGAATTTGGTTTCAAATTTAAATTTTCTGAAATAAACAGCAACAGTAAAACGCTAGGGCATGTTTTGGAGGTTTAATTCTATATTTTTATTTTGGAAATCTTACAACAATCTAAAAGGTATTTACTTCTGAGTCTGATTACAAATTCAAAACAAACAATTTCTATAAGCAGGAAAAAGTCTAACAAGAAACTGTGCCAGATTTTAGTAGATGCATTTTTTTTTAATCAAATACTTGAATAATGCAATATAAAACAGAGTGATCACAAATCAGATGCTATTTTTGACATCCTGCGGCGTCCTTGGCGTTGTACAACGATTTTCCTGTTTCCAAGAACCAAAATTACAATCTCGAAGTAATTAGGATTCGAGTTGTTGTTTATTATTTATCAATTTGCTACATATTAATTTTCTCCGTGTATTATACATTCGTTGCCAATGCCATTCTATAGATTAAATTATTACGAGAAAAAAATCTCAGCGCGATTCCTGGTAATTTTCTTTTAATTTGTCTTAACTTAAAATTCTCGCGAACTATACGAGAAAAATATACAAATTATACAATATTTTTATTGGTTTTTCTGTTATAAAAAAAATGACATAGTAAAGAGAAAAGGAAAAGTTTTTTTGAGGGAAAGCCGTCTAAGAGCAGAGTTCCTTATTAAGAATACACTTTCAAATCCTGAGGATTTTAGAGAAAAAAAATTAACTAAAGAAAAAATAACTCCGCGAGTCCTTTTCTCTATCGGGTTTTTTTTTTTTAACTTTCATCAAAAATTTTTGAAAATACAATTTTCCTAATAGAAAACGCCATTGGAAAATTTTTCAATTTTTATCATGTGTACATATATATATAAAAAAAAGACAATTCTGGAACTGTTGTACGAGTTGTGTTTCAAGGGCAGCAAAGAACTTGGAATCGCTGGAGTGAAACCGGCTAAACAAGATGCCCGGCTGTCGAGTTTAATTTATTTTTTGACTTAATTGAATTGTAACTTTTTTTTTGTTTTCCAGTGATAAATTTAGACAGATTTCAACTACAATCAGGATCTGGCCTATTAAATTATAATCAGAGATACATTTCAGACTCAGAGACGTACAACCTTGTAGATTCAAACCGGACTCGATTATCTCAGAAATGTCTTTATTAATTCAAACCGTACTTCATCCATTATCCTTTATTACCGAGAAGAATTAAAACCAAATACTCTATAAATTTTTTAGTTTTAATCTAAATAAAAGAATATGCCAACATTCAGCAAAAGATCTTATATTTTACAAAAATAAATAAATAATACAACAGCGAGTACCATGCCAAACAGAGTTTAATACTTTTGAAGGTAAACAAACAATAAACGATTTATTATTTTATCATAAAATTATATGGAAAAATTTAGACATTCAAAGTTGTCCAATTACAACTTCAAGATAATCTTTAAAAAAAACTTCTAAGCTTCTGTGTGATTTTATTTACTTTTACCCAAATATCAACTAAATAATTATATATAATTTTCAATTAATTCATCTTTTTATGTAAGGTTTCGGTTGAAATGAAAAAGTTAGTGTCACGAGCGGGATTCGAACCCTCGACCTTCGGCTCAATACGCCGCTGCTCTAACCACTAGAGCTATCGTGACCTCAAGTCTAACTTCGAACGATAGCTCAAGTGGTTTAGAGCAGCGGCGTATTGAGCCGAAGGTCGTGGGTTCGAATCCCGCTCGTGACACTAACTTTTTAATTTCAACCAAAACCTTGCCTAAAGACTGATTAATTGAAAGAAGTAATTTGGTCAATAGACCACTAAATATAACGCAAATTCAATCGAACAAGCTTTCTCTTAAACACACATCACATCTAAAGCGATTTAAATCCTTTTATACATTATTTAATAAATAAAATAAACAATTTCAGATAATAAATGGCCTACGATTTAAAATTAATTTGCTCAGCGTCTAACAGCAAACAAAAATCTGCCAGGAGACCAGTTATCTCTAATAGGAATATAATTTTCTAACTTGAAATTTGTAACATTTTAAATGCTAGAAATATATTTATTTTATTTTTATAAAACTTTTTCTTATATTCTTCTATTAGTTATATTAAGCTTTACTAAATTAGAATATTCAAAATTATCGATTGTATAATTTTTTTAAATTGTATTTTTGCTTTTGAAAATTTAACATGGCAAAAAAATCGTATCTTGCAAACTTGCATATAAAGTATTAAGAGAATTTTTATTTATTTAAGAGTTTACCAATGGAATGTGAGAACTTGCAAGTCAAAAAGTGGTTCAGACCGTTTAAATTCAAAGGTTTTCGGGCTTAAGACAAAGCGTAAAATAATGGATTTTTTTTTTTAAAGAAACGTAAATAAAGCTCTCCTGAGAAAGAAAAACTGTAAAGAAAACTCGGCATTCGCATGCTTGAGGACTTGACAAATTTTGAATTTAATCAAATCAATTTGATTTATCTTTGAACTTGAATTCAGCGCTTTTTGTTTTTTATAAACGGAAACAAAGCTCCCCTGAGACAGAAAAATCGTGAAGAAAAATTAGCATGCGCATACTTTGAGAACTTTCAGGGCAAACTTTGACACAGAATTTTGAATTTATTCTAAACAATTTATCTGAAATTTGATTTATCTATTTAAATCTAGCTTAATTTATTGAATTTAAACCAATCGAACAGAAACTTTACAGTAACGATAATTTTTGTATCAATCAAAATTATATCTATAATTTGATAGTTATCTATCTGGTCTATCTACCCTGACTTTTGTCATTTTTTATGACTGACAAACATCAGCGATGATAGACGAAGATGTAACTATCAAAATATAAGTTTATCACCTTGCAGAACACAGGACCAACATTATATGTTTGTTTTTATTATTTTGGTTCAGCACAATCAGTTAAGGTTGGTGTACTATAATATTTCCTCATCATAACAAAGTTCGAAGTAGGTATTAAAATATAAGGAAATATTTTTTTTAAAGCCTTCATAGTCTTTCTTTGGTAAATTTACCGATTACGAGTAACAACGCCGTTCTATTTATTTTTTTAAGTCATCGCAATGCAAATTTGATGTATTTCTCAAGGTCGAAACCTTTTCTTTTTCTTTGGTAAATATACTGAAAAGTGTGTTTCTTAGTGGCCTGTTGTTTCATAATTTGTTGAAGTCGTGAGGAGCGGTCAAGAATGAGGTAGTGTACAAAAACACCTTTTTCATTTTTTGCCGACGTTTCGACCATTATTCGGGTCATCTTCAGGGCATTAATTGTGGTGCTATTCTTGCGGTGTCTTATTCACACACTTTCACACAAAATTAATATGACACCACAAGAATAGCACCACACTTTATACCCTGAAGATGACCCGAATAAAGGTCGAAACGTCCACAAAAAAATGGGAAAAAATACTGAAGAGAAGAAAACCTGCTTCCAGGCAGCAGTGAGCCCCCAAAACATTGCTATATTAAACATGTTTTTTGTTAATTTTTAAACTTACTTTTATGTTTTAAAAAATATATTGTAAGGCTAAAATATCAATTTTCTTTTAAAGGCAAAATTTTTGTTTATATATAAAAACAGCTTTGTGTTTAAATTATTTACCTTCTTTTCTTGTTAAGACAAGATAATCAACATTTTGTTTTGTTTTTTATATCTCAAATCGGAAATTAATATTTTATTTTTTTTAAAAGGTGAGTTTTGAATATTTTACTTCCTTTAAATATGAAAATATTGTGATTTTTATCTTTATACGATCTTTACCCCCATGTTTTACGTTGAGATACAGATATTATTAGAAAACCGGGCTATCAGGATGAAAACGAATGCAATTTGTTTGAGATTAATTGAGAAATTTTCATTATCAGACTTTATCCGATTGTGCACTAGTTATATTTTATATAAAAAAATTGTTTTAATATGTTTTCGAATGAGTAAATATTTTACAGAATATTTTTTACGAGGTGCTTATCAAATAAAATTTATACAAAGATAAAAACCCTGTTCGGTTTGGTTTTTGTTGCTAATATAATGTAAAATTTAAAGGATTTTTTTTTAATATTCTAAATAAACAGAATTTTACAACGAATGTCGTTTTACTTGACAAAAATTTCTACTTACCAAAAGAAGCGAGATTGTTAAAGACGATATCAACTGTGACAAAGCCATGGTTTTTTCAAAGACGAAAACTGCTTTTGACAGTGTGTAAAGCACAAGAACTTACAAGTAGAACTACCGGATACGGCTGTGGAACTAACCGGACAAGCGACCCCCTTGGACTGTTTCTATTCTTCGTTCCCCACTACGCTTATAAACCTTTCTCCCCCTCTACCGACTTTAAGTATGTGTATTGAATATACAAAATATATAAGTGTTTAACAAGAAAAAAAATCAGGAGTGATTTTTTTAACGATTTATCTGTTAATATATTTTTATCCTTTCGAATCTCAAAGGATTTTTTTATAATTTGACTACAAAACTTGAGAAAACTTTTATTGCACCGAGAAGCCGCAGTGGCTCGAAATGTATTAAAAGTAAAAATTAATTTAAAAAAGGCTCATTACTTCAAATAAATAATTTTCCTATTTGTTTCTCTTAAATAATAGAAATTCATTGACATACAAAGTCCTGGCAAGAGAATAATAAGAGTGAAGAAGTATTTCTTACATCCAGGACCTATTACTTAAAATATCCTTTTTAAATAACCAAAACAAAACTATTACTCCGCAGATGTCAGATGTTAAAATGATCCGGTTCATTTAAAAGTAAAAATCAGATATTATTATCTAGTTTAAAATCAGCATAGTTGAATATTTCTACGTGACCTTTCTGGCTCTTACATAATTTTTGTTCGGTTTCTAATTATGTACTTTTATTGCCTGATAATCAAACGGAATTGTTTTTAATTTTTAGAAATTATTTGCTATTATTTAATTGCATTTTTACCTCAAAAGTTTAAAAAGTTAAAAAGATAGAAGGTTTTTAAATTGATTCACCGTATAACTATAATAAATAAATATTTTATGCTTGTCTTAAATGGACAAAATTTTCAAAAAATAATTAAATAAGTATCCTTTTTTTGTACATTTTACTGATGAAATACAACCAGGTATTATACTTTTCTCAATCACTTAATTTGATTACAAAGCAGATTGGATTGTTTCTTTTAATAATTTCATTTCAAATTGCATGAAAAGTAACAGATTTCATGAAAATTGGAACCGTTAAAAATTTGCTGAAGTTTCAGGCATTAAGGTCGACGGAGCGAGAACATGCGTATCCAAATATGAAAGAGGTTTCTAATTATGTATTTTTATTGCCTGGCAAACCGTCATCGTTTTTCATTTGTATTAATTATTAAATATTCTTTAATTACATTTTATGGTTTGTCTGAAACGGTCGAAATTTTTTAAAAAATGTGTGATTAGTGACTATTAATCGATAATTATTTAGAAATCGTGAGATGCGGTCTGGTGTGATGTAGGTTTCAGAAAAACATTTTCTTTATCGTGCCAACGTTTCGATCTTTATTGAGATCATCTTCAGGGCTCAAAGTGTTTGTCTTCTGTATAATTGTGCCATTCTTGCGTGTCGTGTTGAGAGTGCTGGTTTGTCTGAAACGGTCGAAATTTAAAATAAAAATTATTAAACAAGCACCTTTTTGTATATTTTACAGTCGAAATATAACCAGATGATATTTTTTTCAATCATTTTATAAGATCTTGAGCTTGAATTGTTTTTTTTAATAATTTCATTTTAGATTGCATGAAAAGTTCCAGATTTTATGAAAATCGCAACCGTCAAAATAGAAATTTCAGGTATTAAGGTCGACAGAGCGAGAACACGCGGATCCAAATATTAAATAAGGTTTCTAATTATTCATTTTTATTGCCTGGCAAACTGTCATCGTTTTTCATTTGTACTAATTATTAGATATTCTTTAATTACATTTTATGGTTTGTCTGAAAAGGTCGAAATTTAAAAAAAAATTATTAAACAAGCACCTTTTTGTATATTTTACAGTTGAAATATGACCAGATGATACATTTTTTCAATTATTTTATATGATCTTGAGCTCGAATTGTTTCTTTTAATAATTTCATTTTAGATTGCATGAAAAGTTCCAGATTTCATGAAAATCGCAACCGTCAAAATTGAAATTTCAGGTATTAAGGTCGATAGAGCGAGAACACGCGGATCCAAATATTGAATAAGGTTTCTAATTATGTATTTTTTAATGCCTGGCAAACCGTAATCGTTTTTCATTTGTAGTAATTATTAGATAGTCTCTAATTACATTTTATGGTTCATCTGAAACGGTCGGTATCTTTAAAACAATTATCAAACAAGCATTTTTTTTGCATATTTTACAATTGAAATATAACCGTATTTTTTTTCTTGCTTGTTTCAATTATTTTATATGATCTTGAGCTTGAATTGTTTCTTTTAATAATTTCATTTCAAATTGCATGAAAACCATTAAAATTTTCTGAAATTTCAGGCATTAAAGTCGACAGAGCGATAATAGGCGGACCCAAATATTGAACGAGGTTTTTAATTATGTACTTTTATTGCCTGATAAACCGTAATTGTTTTTCATTTGTAGTAATTATTAGAATTATAATTACGTAATTTAATTACATTTTATGGTTTGTCTGAAACGGTCGAAATCTTTTTAAAAAATTATTAAACAAGCATCTTTGTGTATATTTTACAGTTGAAATATAACCGGATTTTTTATTTTTTATTTATTCTATCTTGCGCTTGAATTATTTCTTTCAATAGATTCTTTCCAAACTGCATAAAATGGTCGCGGGCTCAAGAAAATCGCAACCGACAAAATTGAAATTTCAGACATTAAGGTCGACAGAGCGAGAACACGCGGATCCAAGTATGAATGTTTTCTAATTAGGTTTTTTGCATGATAATTTTTAATCTTTTTTTATGTTTAGCAATTATTACCTATTCTTTAATTATATTTTAAGTTTTGTCTGAAATGGCCAAAATTCTAAAAACTAATTAAACAATCTCTATACTTTATGATTATTCGGAGATTATTCGGTCATGATCTCCAAATAATCATTAAATAACGGTCACACATTTATACTTTATGTTTATACTTTTTGTACATTTTACTGTTGAAATATAACCCGGAAGGACATTTTTTCCAATCTCTTTATTTGATCTTGAGCTTGAATTGTTTCTTTTAATAGACGTCATTACTACGAATGTAAATCCCAGGCCCTGAAGATGATCTCAATAAAGATCGAAACGTTGACACGATAAAGAACATGTTTTTCTGAAACCTACATCAAACCAGACCGCATCTCACGATTTCTGAATATGTATTCTTTTAATAGTTTCATTTCAAACTACATAAAAGTCCCTGATATCCTAAAAATTTGAATCGTTTAAATTTTCCGAAATTTCTAAAATTAATATGAACTAGGTATCTAATGTTGTATTATTATTGCATTATAAACCGTAATTCTTTTTGACTTTTATTAATTATCAGCTATTTTTTAATTGAATTTTATGCTTGTATCAAACCGCCAAAATCCTACAAAAATTATTAAATAAGCGTCTTTATTCTTTATGTTGTGTACTTTTTGTGTTTTACTATTGAAATATCACCCGGATTTATTTTACAATTTTTTTATTTGATCTTGAGATGGAATTTTTTACATTAAGTGTCTTATAAAAATCTTAAAATGCTACGAAAATTTAATATCTGAAAAGGTCGAGAGCTCATGAAAATTAGAACCGTTCAAATTTTCCGTAATTTCAGACATTAAGGTCGATTGAGCGAGAACACGCGGATCCAAATGTAAACGAGGTTTCTAATTATATACTGTTACCGCCTGATAAACCGTAATCGTTTGTCATTTTTAATGATTGTTCCCTATTCTTTAATTCAAGTTTATGCTTGTTTGAAACAAAAAATAACTATTTAATTATTAAATAGGATCTTTATACTTTTCATATTTTTTATTTTTGTGCATTTTATTGTTGAAATACAACCCAGAACAATGCTTTTTCCAATCATTTTATTTTATCTTGAATTGTTTCTTTGAGTAGTTTTATTTTTTCTTTTATTGTTTACTTCCTTTGCTTAACAAACCAAACCAACCTTCTCTATTGAAAAAGTTTAATGACTCTTTTATTTTATATCGCGATTTGTAATATACCAAAATTAAATAAACTGTATTACTTTTTCAAACTTAAAATTCTCTCCCTCCAAAAATTAATAATAAAAAGAATAAATCATTTTGTCACATAATCTTTCTGGTTAAAAGAGGAAAAAGTCCATTTTTGAAATTGTGGGTTTTTGTGATGTGTGTTTAATTATGTATATAATTTTTCCCATTCGTACAACCCGATCGTGGTGAATCGTAAAGAATAAAGTCTCAGGGCTTGAGCCATGTTCAAGCCCAAGGTCTTGTTATTAATAGCGGGGAATAACGTGTCATATACGGATAAGATCCTCCGGATATTAACCCCACTACTATAAACAAGTCATGACAATAACAAAAAAAAGAGGAATTTTACTTCCTCCGGCTATGTTTAATTGTCTCCTTCCTCTTTCGACTAACGTCTTTGAATCCTTTTGGGAAAAACTGGTATATTGGGCTGACTAAAAGCTAGAGAGTGAATCATGACTGGAGTTCGGTCACGATGGGAACCTCCAGTCTTGTAATTTCATAAATTTTTCAACTTTGACACATTTCTGAAAATAAAAGTCAGGCATACTTCGTAGATGAAGTTACCATTATTTCAAGTTTTATTGTACTTTACTTTGTTCAATCCTTCTTTGTTGTTCCTTTCCAATAACAGCCTTTCCTGTTACACTAATATGTTTTTCATTGTAATCACCTAAAGTTTTTAGTTTCTCGTTGTTATAATGTTTACAATAATAGTGACTCTTGTAATGCTTTTATGTTTTTTAAGCATTACTTCATGTAACTTTTAAAAGAATATTACTCTTCTATTTTTTGTATATGGTTTTTTTACATTATTTAATATAACTTTTACTCTCTTACTTTTGTTACTATATATTTATATATTATATATCTACTCTTCTGTTTTGTTGTTTGTTATTTTTTATGCACTAGTTGAAAAGGATAGTTGACTCTTGTGGTTATTCTTCCTACTCTTCAATTTTTACAACATTACTTAATTTAACCTTTACTCTAATAGTGACTCTTTTTCCTCTTTTTTTTCAACATTATTAATGTAATTATTACAATAACAGGGACTTATGTTACACTTCGATGTTTTTCAAAATTTGCTTCATGTAACTTTTCAGATAATAGTGACTTGTTATTCTTCTCTTTTTGGTTTGTTGTTTTTAAGATTCACTAGATTAATTAGGTTTTAGATTTTTTGTTTGTAAAATAATAATTATTATATGTGTGGTGATTAGTGACCGTTAGACGATGATTACTCTGAAATCGTGAGATGCGGTCTGGTGTGACGTAGGTTTCAGAAAAACATTTTCTTTATCGTGCCAACGTTTCGATCTTTATTGAGATCATCTTCAGGTCCTAGGATTTGCAAACATTGTTTACATTTAACAAATACATGTAGGATGTGGAAAAAAGTGAATTTATACAATGCAAAAAAATATTTTTTTAAATTATATTCAATCAAAATGTGAATAGAAATACTTTGATTGAATATAATTTTTTTTAATTTTGTTTTTTTGCATTGTATAAATTC